CATAATCCCTACACAAAGTGGTTATGCAGCTTCACCCCAATATATGCGGGTGGAGGTGTATCACAATCACAATCTCTATACAACTTGGCATAATAACTTTCACATAAATCACGACTTGAAATTATAACATGTGGATACACAATCCATAGCTTGGAACACATCCTCAACTTATAATGCAATATGATAAGAGCATTTGAAACTCGAATTGAACATATATCTTCATCACAGAACTTATCAGAATACTCAATTTGTAATCAACATCTTGGCACTTACAAGGATAATGGGAATTCAAATTCTTAAAGAAGAGTTTAGCCAACATACCTCACTTGAGCTTCCTTACACTCTAAATGTTCTGGAATTCTTAGCAACTTCAATCTATTTTAGAAATATAACAAATTGAACCAAAATGAGGAAGATGATCATGGTTCTAGCTCATTTAAGCATTTTATCAAACACTAGGTGTGCATAAGTTTTCGAGGTCCTCTTATGGAGAATTCCATCATCCCACAACCCAATCTTTACCATGCCTAGTTCAACAATCTTCCTACACCCCTTGATATCACATGCATGTAAAATAAACAACTATCATGCCCAAAAATTATCTTGCTAATTACCCATTTTCAGAAAATTACGAAATTAGGGGTTTGGGTGTAGAATCTTACCTCTAGGATGATGACCTAGTGAGTTTCCCTTCTTAATCTTCCAAAACATGAGCAAGAATTGAAGAACAATTATTGAAGAACACCTTCTCACTCTAGGGCATTCTCTCTCACTCTAAAATGTCAGATTATAGCTAAAAAATGGCCCAAATAGTATATTTAACGAAATAGGGTCGGGTTTTAAAAACCCAAAAATGAAGCTCCGGAACCGGTTCTGCGATCACATAATCAATATGCGGACCGCATATCGGTCGCATAATTGCGGACCAAAATGACCAAAACTCTGCCTGTGTTTGCGGTCACTATGCGGTCGCATAATGAACCACAGAACAGTTATGCGGTCGCATAGTCGACCACATAATTGCATCCAAGCTGACCCTCTTCTGCCTCACTTCTGTGGCTATTATGCGGCCCGCAGAGTTAATCTGCGGTCACATAATGGACCGCAGAAACGTGTTTTTTTTGCCAAAATTTTTTTTTACTTTCCGGTGCATTGTTCAGACCCAAAAAGTCCCAGTCGTGGATCGCAAGCTCGCCGCGAAGAATTTCTATATTACTCAACATGTAAAACCAATTCGGCACCACAAAATATTATTTTCTTTTGCAAAATTTTATGGGTCCTTACATTCTCCCCCGCTTAGGATCATTCGTCCTTGAATGAGGGTAAAACAAATCTCTTATTAGCATCTTATGCAACTTAGTTTTCATACCACACCAGTAGCCCCAAATTTGACTAACTCCCTAAATTTCCAAAAATTTTGCTAGATTTTCCCCCTGTAACTGGTCTATCCACCTGTGAGAGAGCCCCAGAAACACATCCTAACAGCATATACATAATCCAACGACTAACATAATATAAAACAACACCAATTGTGGCCTCATAAGCAATGTATTACCAGAAAGGAACACCCTTAATGCCAATTGTACAATTGATAAAAAATTCATAAAAAGTAAGTCTTATAATTTTCCTAGATCACAACTTTGTAAATATATAGTTATTCAAACAAGTAAGGGTACTTTTTCTTCATTTCTTCCTCGGCCTCCCAAGTAGCCTCTTCATCCTGTTGGTTACGCTATAGCACTTTCATGGATTCAATTTCCTTGTTTCTCAACTTTCAGACTTGCCGATCAATAATAGAAACTAAAATCTCTTCATAAGTCAATTCCTTATTAACCTCAATAGTCTCAACCGGAACAATGATTGTCGGATATCCAACTACTTTCTTCAACATAGACACATGAAACACCGGGTATACAAATGACATCTCAGGTGGTAGCTCAACCTTATACGTCACCTCACCGATCTTCTGAATGATTTTGTATGGTCCGACATACCTCAGACTCAATTTCCCTTTCTTACCAAATAGCATTACACCTTTCATGGGGGAAACTATCAAGAATACCCAATCATCAGTTTTGAACTCCAAATCCCTACGACGAACATCCGAAAATGATTTTTGACGACTCTAAGCAGTCTTCAATCGCTCCTTAATGATTTTAACTTTTTCCATAGCCTTATACACGAGGTCTGGCCCTATCAACTCTGTTTCCCTAATTTTGAACCATCCAATGGGAGATCTACATCTCCTACCATATAAAGCCTCGAACGTTGCCGTCTGAATGCTAGCATGATAGCTATTATTGCATGCAAATTCTATGAGTGGTAAATGATCATCCCAGCTAACTTTGAAGTCTAGAACACAAGCGCGCAACATATCCTCAAACGTCTGAATAGTTCGCTCTGCCTGCCCGTCAGTCTGCGGGTGGAAGGCTGTACTAAGATTCACCTGAGTACCCAAACCTTGCTGAAATTTCTTCCAAAAATTAGCAGTGAATTGTGCTCCCCGATCAGAAATGATGGAGACTGGTGTGCCATGCAACCTGAATATTTCTTTGATATACAACTGAGCATATTATTCTGTGGTATCGGTAGCCTTAACCGGCAAGAAGTGTTCTGATTTTGTGAGTCGATCCACAATCACCCAAATACAGTCAAACTTACGAGGAGTACGAGGTAATCCTACCACAAAGTCCATATTAATCATTTTCCACTTCCACATTGGAATTTCTATGTTCTGTGCCAACCCACTGGGCCTTTGGTGTTTGGCCTTCACTTGCTGACAATTCGAACATCTTGCCACAAAGTCCGCCACATTCCTCTTCATATCATTCTAGCAATAGACTTCCTTAAGATCATGATACATTTTTGTAGAACCTGGGTGCACTAAATACCTAGAAGTATGAGCTTCAATCATAATTCTTTCACGGAGACCATCCACGTTTGGAACACATAGTCATCCTTGGTACCTTAGTGTACCATCATCCATGCCAAGAGAAAAGGCCATGGTCTTATGTTTATGAATCCCCTATTTCAATTGCACCAATAATGGATCGTTGTATTGTTTCTCTTTGACTTCCACAACAAGAGATGATTCAGGCTTATTTTGCACAATTACCCCTCCTTCACTAGAGTCTGCAAGACAAACTCCCTAACTTGCCAATCGGTGAACTTTCTTGGACAATGGCCTTTGATATGCCTCCAAGTGAGCCAAACTACCCGTGGATTTCCGGCTAAGTGCATCTGCCACAACATTGGCCTTTCCCGGATGATATAGAATATCAATGTCGTACTCCTTGAGTAACTCAAGCCATCTTCTCTGCCTCAGATTCAATTCATTCTTCTTGAAAATATATTGAAGGCTCTTATGATCCATGAATATATCAACATGGACCCCATATAAATAATGATAGGGCCTTACAATTATGCATGGATCTGGCTATTATAGCGCTTGGGCTAAAGNTATATATATTTAGGGATGGATCTTCCATGGGCATGGATCTTGCCCGAAGTATTTACATTGAGGGATGGATTTTCCCTGGACATGGATCTTGTCTGAATCATTGTTATTTGGGTATGGATCTTACCCTAGGCTGGATTGGCCTTATAGAGTACTAAGTGACTGACTGTCAATTGATGGATATACATATATATTTTGGAATATATCTTCCCTGGGCTAGATTGGCCATATATAGTACTGAGTGATTGAGTATTTTAGATTGTGAGTACACGGAGTTTTCATTAAAGTGCATCACATAAAGTATGTACATTGGCATGTAGATACAGAGATATCATATTCCTCGTATTCTTAATAATTGATCTGTTTTATTTGTACTGAAAGCAACTGTTGAACTTGAAAGCATGTCTACATTTATGTATTGTTATTATTTATACTGGACTGTACCTACGGAGCTCGTCACTAATTTCAGCCCATAAGTTAGTTTTGTTACTTATTGAGTTAGTTGTACTCATACTACACTCTGTACTTCGTGTACAGATCTAGGTACTTCCGGATACGTCGGTTGCCAGATTTGAGGATTTATCTTTTGGAGACTATCAAGGTAGCTGCTCGGTGTCCGCTGACCTTGTCTCTCTTTCCTTCAGTTATTGTATTGTTCTATATATTTCAGACAGTGTTTTATCAGTCAGACTTTGTATTCATATTAGATGCTCATGTACTCAGTGACACCGGGTTTTGGGAATGTATTTTTTTATAAGAAATTGTGAGATTTTCAATGAAATTCAATGATATGTTTTCAAACTTCAAAGATATGGTGGTTTATTGAGATTGTCTTCTTGCCTAGTATTGATATAGGCATCATCACGACGGTTAGGAATTTGGGTCATGACAAGTTAGTTTCAGAGCCTAGGTTACATCGGTCTCACGATTCATGAGCAGGCTTAGTAGAGTCTTGCGGATCGGTATGGAGACGTCTGTTGTTATCTTCGAGAGGCTGCCGAACCCTTAGAAAAATTTTGCTTTCTTGTATTCTATCGTGCAAACTTGTTGATTCCGGAAAAACTAAAATTCTGCTATTCTATTCTCTCACAGATGGTGAGAACACGTACTACTACATCGGACGATAAGCCACCAGTGCCACCAGTTAGGTCCATGAGAGGCCGGGGCCGTGGTAAAGGCCGGGGCTGAGGTAGAGGTCGAGGTGTCTCTCGTACATCAGTTGGAGCAGCACCTGTAGCACCACCAGTTGCTCCGGCTTAGGAGTAGATTCCAAATATAGTTGAGCCGGCGGGACCCGCTCAAGGCACCAGCTGTGCCCATTGAGATTCCAGGCCTATGGGAGGCTTTGGCTCAGATATTGACAGTTTGCACTGGCCTTGCTCAGGTGGTTTCGGCTCGGACCGCACCAGCCACTTCTTAGGCCGGGGGAGATACTCATACCCTTGTTGCCCGTGCTCCAGAGCAGGTAGTGCAGGGACTTCAGATACCGGGGGCACTACCAGTCCATCCGGCTGCAATTGTTCATGCCCCGGTAGTCCCCGTTATGGAAAATGATGAGCAGAGGAGACTTGATAGATTTGAAAGGCTTCGACCTCCAGCATTTAGCAGTGCTGAGTCAGAGGATGCTCAGGATTTTCTGAATAAGTTCCAGCGAATGCTTCAGACTGCGGGTATTTTGGAGACCAATGGGGTCTCGTTCACTACTTTTCAGTTTTCTAAGGCTGCCTTCAGATGGTGGAGGCTTATGAGAGGCGCAGGACGATCGGTGCAGCACCACTTACATGGCAGGAATTCTCCATTCTCTTTTTGGAGAAGTTTGTGCCGCAGTCTCGCCGAGAGGAGCTGCGTAGACAGTTTGAGCAGTTACGTCAGGATGGTATGTCTGTGACGCAATACGAGATGATATTTTCTGAGTTGGCTCGTCACGCACTTTGGTTGGTTTCCACTTATAGGGAAAGGATTAGGATGTTCATTGATGGCCTCACATATCAGCTGCGATCGCTTATGAATAGAGAGAGGGTATCTGGTACCACCTTTGACGAGGTGGTTGACATTGCTCGATAGATAAAGGTGGTCCGTAGCCAGAATCATGGTGAGAGGGAGGCCAAGAGGCCTCGAGGTTCGGGCGTTCTGGTGGGGTACCTTCTGGAGGGCAATCCTACCACAACAGGGGTCATCCTTACAGACGCGCTCAAACGGGTCATTCAGTTCACCATGGTGCATCATCCAGCCATGGTTCATATAGTTCTCATCAGAGTCAGTCACCTCTCAGTGCACTTCCAGCCCAGAGTACGCCCTGTGCTCCTTCAATTCAGGGATCATCTGTGCCAGGTTCTTTTGGTACTTATTCTGGTTCTCAAAGTCCACCTCAAAGCTTACCATCCTTTTCAGAGAGGGGTTGCTTTGAGTGTGGAGACTTGGGCCACATAAAAAGATATTGTCCCCACCTTACGCGAGGTCCAGCTCAGTAGAGGAGTCATGTTACAACTTCTGCACCAGTTGCTCCACCACATGCTCAGCCAGCTCAGGGTAAGGCTCAGTCAGCTAGGGGCCGCCCAAGAGGGGGAGGCCGATCAGGTAGCGGTCAGGCCCGATTCTATGCTTTTCCTGCCAGACCAGATGTTGTTGCTTCAGATGCAGTGATCACAGGTATTGTCTCAGTGTGCCATAGTAAGGCTTTTATATTATTTGACCCAGGTTCTACTTATTGATATATGTCATCGTACTTTACTCATTATCTGGATATGCCCCGTGAGTCCTTAGTTTCACCTGTTCGTGCTCAACGCCGGTGGGCAATGCTATTATCGTGGACCGTATGTATCGGTCATGTGTGGTAACTATTGGGGAACTGGAGATTAGAGTTGATCTCTTATTGCTCAGTATGGTTGATTTTGATGTAATCTTGGGTATGGATTGGTTGTCTCCATGTCATGCTATTCTGGACTGTCACATAAAAATCGTGACATTGGCAATGCCGGGGTTGCCAAAGGTCGAATGGAGAGGGTCTCTAGATTATGTTCCCAGTAGGGTCATTTCTTATTTGAAGGCCCAACGTATGGTGGGGAAGGGGTGTTTGTCATATTTGGCCTTTGTGAGAAATATTGATGCAGATACCCCTACTATTGATTCAGTACCGATAGTGCGAGACTTTCCAGATGTATTTCCTGCAGACCTGCCGGGTATGCCACCCGACATGGATATTGATTTTGGTATTGACTTGGTGGCGGGTACACACCCATTTCTATTCCTCTGTATCGTATGGCACCAGCTGAATTAAAAGAATTCAAAGAGCAACTTCAGGAACTCCTTGAAAAGGGGTTTATTAGGCCTAGTGTGTCACCTTGGGGTGCACCGGTTTTGTTTGTGAAAACTAAAGATGGTACTATGTGGATGTGCATTGATTACAGACAATTGAACAATCAAGAATAAATATCCTTTGCCGCGTATTGATGAATTATTTGACCAGCTTCAAGTAGCGAGGGTATTCTCCAAAATTGATTTGAGATCGGGGTATCACCAGTTGAAAATTCGGGATTCGGATATTCTAAAGATGACATTCAGGACTCGTTATGGCCACTATGAATTTCTTGTGATGTCATTTGGACTAATCAATGCCCCAGCAGCATTTATGTACTTGATGAATAGTGTATTCCAGTCATATCTTGACTCATTTGTCGTGGTATTTATTGATGATATCCTGGTGTACTCACGTGGCTAGGAGGAACATGCACAACATTTGAGTATTATACTACAGAGGCTGAGGGAAGAGAAACTTTATGCCAAATTCTCTAAGTGTGAATTCTCGCTTAGTTTGGTAGCATTCTTGGGACATATAGTATCCGGTGAAGGGATTAAGGTGGATCCGAAGAAAATAGAGGCAGCTCAGAGTTGACCCAGGCCATCTTCAGCTACCGAGATTCGGAGTTTTCTTGGCTTTGCCGGTTATTATCGTCGCTTCGTGGAGGGTTTCTCGTTTATTGCATCGCCTATGACTAAATTAACCCAGAAAGGTGCTCCGTTCAGGTGATCGGATAAGTGTGAAGAGAGCTTTCAGAAGCTCAAGACAGCTTTGACTACAACCCCAGTATTGGTGTTGCCTACCGGTTCAGGGTCTTATACTGTGTATTGTGATGCGTCGCGTATTGGTCTCGGTGCAGTGCTGATGCAAGACGGTGGGGTGATTGCCTATGCGTCCAGACAACTAAAGGTACATGAGAAGAATTATCCGGTCCACGACCTTAAGTTAGCAGCTATTGTTCATGCCTTGAATATTTGGCGATATTATTTATACGGTGTCCATTGTGAGGTTTATACAGATCACCGGAGTCTACAACATCTATTTAAACAGAAAGATCTTAATTTGCGCCAGCGGAGGTGGTTGGAGTTGCTTAAGGATTATGATATCACCATTCTCTATCATCCTGGAAAGGCCAATGTGGTGGTTGATGCCTTGAGTCGTAAGGCAGAGAGTTTGGGTAGCTTATCATACTTACCGGTAATAGAGAGGCCTTTAGCCTTGTATGTTCAGGCCTTGGCCAACCAGTTTGTTAGATTGGATGTTTCCAAGACGAATCGAGTTTTGGCTTGTGTGGTTTCTTGGTCTTCTTTATATGATCTCATCAGAGAGCGCCAGTATGATGATTCTCATCTGCTTGTCCTTAAGGACACGGTTCAACACGGTGATGCCAAGGAAGTCACTATTGGGGATGATAGTGTATTACGGATGCAGGGCAGGCTATGTGTGCCTAATGTAGATAATTTGTGTGAGTTTATTCTCTAGGAAGCTCACAGTTTGCAGTACTCCATTCATCCAGGTGCCGCGAAAATGTATCAGGATTTGAGGCAGCACTATTGGTGGAGGCGAATAAAGAAAGATATAGTTGGGTTTGTAGCCCGGTGTTTAAATTCTCAACAGGTAAAGTATGAACATCAGAGACCGGGCGGATTACTTCAAAGACTTGAAATTCAGGAGTGGAAGTAGGAGCGTATTACCACGGACTTCGTAGTTGGGCTCCCACGGACTTTGAAGAAGTTTGATATTGTTTGGGTGATTGTAGATCGGTTGACCAAGTCCACGCATTTTATTCCAGTTGGTACTAATTATTCTTCGGACCGGTTGGTTGAGATTTATATCCGCGAGATTGTTCGATAATTATTCTTTTGATTGACAGTTATGTTTATTTTGTTTATGCCTAGATCTGGCTATTATAGCGCTTGGGCTGAAGGAGCCCCTCCGGAGTCTGCACCCCCACAGTGAGCATAGTT